TATATATATATGATTAAGAATTAAAATACAATTATTTTATTACACATCAATGATACCTCTTTTACTGAATTTCAAAGTTCTCAAGTAAATAGTATTTTAAGAAAATTCTTATATTACATTGAAGAAATATTTTATTACAAATTATTTTTCCTCTGTCTTGTTTAGATATAAGCAATGGACACAAGAAAAAGAAGTTGCAATTAATTAGAGAAGATGCTATTTTTGATCGGACTGGATCTTGTAGTATAATAATAATATTTTTATGCGAATTTTGTATACTTTTTCCAACTTATTGTTAGTAAACTGCACGTCGGTTATTTGTCGCGCGGTCTTAAAACACAGCTTTTTGTTATAGAACAGTAAATCCACATACAAAACGATAATATTTATATTGAAATTTTGATGCTAATAAGCATTAATTTTTTTTAATCATTGTAAAGATCCTGTTGAAAAAATGTCTCATATTTTTTCAGTTTCAAAGAATTGAGGCTTACAATGGAACAATCGGAATTGTCCCTCAATTTTGATAGACTTTGGATATGTTGTAGAGCATCAAAAAATATTAGACCCATATTTTTTTTAGCTGCTTATCTTAACGTTTAGGGGATGAAACAACTCCTCGAAAATAACGGACTTTTTTTATTTTTAGCGAATATCTCTTTTCGAAAATATAACGTATATCAAAAAATGTTTTATACAAAAATGTTATGGCTTTTTGTGCTCTTTACAATGTCGTACATTTACAATGTTACATTTTTCGAAAATGTCAAAAAATAAATAAGTTTTTCTTAAAAAAAAATCTTGGAAGAACATTCCAATTCGTATAAAAAAATCTAAAAAATGTTTAGCATTCTGAGAAAGTCCTAAAATTTTTATAGAAATTTTAATTAATAACATGAAAAATTCTGAGACATTTTTCTACCAGGGGATTTTGTTGGCGTCTTTACCGATTCGACCACTGAGAAATTTGATCACAAGAAGTTAGTCAAATCTATTTTTTCGTAGGCAGAGCGTCTGGCGAGGATGACTACGACAGCATTTTTCTACGTATTTATATTGGGTACTTATTTTTACACTCTCGATTTCTTTTATCACTTTTATCACTTGAAATTAAATTCTTGAGATAAAAGAAATCAATTGCATTTTTTGGAACGATATCTTCGTCGGCGCAAGATAAAATTAATTTCCGATAAATTTATTTTCAGTATTCATCCAAAATATTTATCTCTTTTAGGACCACTATGGACGAATATGCCGACTACCCGCTGGGGAATGCCAGCGCGATTACATCTCAAATAGACAACAGCAAGCCGACGGTGTTGTATATTCACGGCTACACGGAACATCTTGATAAAGAGAGCGTGCAAACAGTGGTGGAAGGTATATACTTTGACGACAAATAATGTGCATTACGAAAAGCATTTAAATTATTTTCATTTTTTCAGCTTACTTAAAGAGAAATGATCACAACGTTATCGCGGTGGATTACGGTAAATTAGCGAGCAACTCGTACCTAATAGTGACGATGAGTGCTCCTCGTATAGCAGATGCTGTCGCGACTGCTCTCGATGAGATGAAAAACTCGGGCTTTAATACGGAAAAATTGCACATTGTCTCACACTCCATGGGTAGCCAAATCTCCGGTTATATCGGCAGAAGAGTCAGCTTTCAAATTCCTAGAATTACAGGTGAAAGTCTAACCAATTTTTTTTATCAAAATTGATTTTATCTTGATTTTATTTCTGCTATATTTAGAACTGAAGTACCTTGAAATACTTTTGTGAATAACGAAAGATCTTAATAGTTATTTGTGTAACAAGTGCTGTAAGATGAAAATTCACGGGTGCGGAGTTGACGCACGAGTCGAAGGCGAGCGGGAATTTTCATTTTTACGCACAACTTGCACACCCTATTTTATGTTGCAAGTGCGTGGAAAGTGGTCTATCACGCACGCGTAGCGTGCGTAATGGGCCACTTTCCATGCACGTGTTACATAAAATACTTTGATAATTTTTGCCCCCTCTTTTTCCCCCTCAATTATTGGAGTAGGTCAGGGTCAAAACTTGAAAATTTCAGCGAGAATGCCTCATATATATACGAAAAAAATGATGTTGCATCAACCGCATTAGAGCTAATTGGAAATAATCTTGTTAATTTAAACGTCATGCTTTTGTTTTGATAAAATAAGTATTGTTTTCATTAATACTGTTATTGAATTAAAAAGATTATTTTCAATTAGCTCTAATGCTGTTGCTACAACATCATTTTTTTCTCTGTGTATAATCTCGATTAAAACATAAATACAAATGCCATATTTATATAAAGATACTTTTGTATATATAGGACTGGATCCGGCCGGCCCTCTTTTCCATCTTCTCCAGCCTAGTCTTTCGTCTTCCGATGCTCGTTTTGTGGATATCATACACACGGATTCTGGATTTTATGGTATCACCAAGACTACGGGCACAGTGGACTTTTTCCCAAACGGTGGTACACGCATACAACCCGGTTGTCCGCCACGCCCCAGATTTTTCAGCGAAGAGGGTATATATTTTTTCTCTCTAAGAACTTACAAATAAACTTATATACTTGCAGATTATATTTTTCACATCTCGATTTTGGTCGTTTCAGATTTCTGCAGTCACCATCGTTCCTGGAGATTCTATGCCGAGTCTCTGACCGATGAATCTACCTTCTTGGGCGTGCATTGTCCTTCGTTATCTGACTTTACCTACGGCGAATGCAATAATAATACACGGACCGTTATGGGATATGCCACTCCGACCAGTGTGTCAGTACAAAAATTCTGTATTTTAAAGAAATAATTTAAGAATAGATTGTTATTTTATAAAATTATATAATCTAGTAAAAAATTTTCTTAAAATTTACCATATAATTTTTCAAAACTTCTATAGATTTTATAACTTTTTAGAAAATTTCTCAGATTTTATATACAAATTGGAACACTTTTCAAAAATACAGAAAAAATTTACATCTTCCCTAGAATTCTTTGTTTATGTAAAATCTAAAATATTTTAACATTTTTTATTCTGTAATTTCCGAAAAAACTTATAAGATTTGAAGTTTAAAATAATTTTTTAGAAAAATAGATTTGCAAATTTTAAATATAGAAAATTCTTAAAAATATTATGAGGTATGAGAAATTTTTTAACCATTTTTCCCCTATTTTCAATCTTTTTGAAATGTATGATTACAAAATACTTACTTTTTTCTTTTTTTTCAGGCAGGGGACTGTCTATCTTACGACGAAGGATGAAAGTCCTTTCGGATTGGACGAGAAAGGAATTATGTCGACGAATTAGTTACGCCATGTTGAGAATTGCGATATAAAAATGATATCGCAAGATTTTCAGAAAAAAATTGTGAATTCTCTTACTAATACGAAAAAGAAAGAAAAAATTAGAGAGAGAATGTGTATCGGCCTCTGCAATGCGCATACTTTATACTACGTTTATTGTATATTATTGGATACTCGAAGACAACATTTCTTGCAATAACCGGATTGTCGTTATATTATTCCGCGAATGTCCAGACGTCTTCTGCTTTCCGACGCACACAATATAATAACGTCATCATTAATTCAATATCCAACTTGATGATATTGTCACATCACTACGGCTCTTGATATTTTTCTCGTAATTCGCATTTGTGTTAAAAATGCAAAGCTAATGGATATACAATATGGTCGTTTGAAGTTTCGAGAAGTATATATAATTATTATATATATAAAGTATATAAGATTAAGAAGTATTCCAACGTTGAGATCCGAGGCTCGCGTATATCGATCGCGACGATGACAGCGGGATAGCGAGCATATAGTAAATTTATGCTATAACGTACATTTTTAAATAAGGCGGAACAATCGTAATAACTGTGGCATGTCCCTTATAATAACATACGATAGTCTTTGTAGAATTGTATGTAATGTTTCATGAAACGATTAGAAAAAGAAAACTTATTTCTGCATGATGAATTATCTACCATGGAAGTTAAAGTAATTCCTAAGTGAGAGAGAGAAAGTAAGAATATAAAATGTACGATATAAAATGTCAAGAAATGGAAACTGTGCAATATAATAGCATTCTCAGAAGAAATATTGTCTCGCAAGAAATATTTTTATCGAGATACCTTAAGATCTTCGAGACCTTTCTTCGAACTCTTAACCGCGAACAATGCATACTCTTCCCTTGTCGTTCGCGCTATTGACGTACACCGGATACTGGCGACCCGTCGACTTGACATCCGTCAAGTATAATTGGGCGTACATCGTTTATTCTATCGCAATGAATTTTCTACTTTACTCGTTCACGTTTTGCGGCTTGGTCGACTGCTTCATAATCGAAGATCTCGAGACGTTCATCGAGAAATTCTCGCTGTTCTTATCGGTGCTCGGCGTCAGCTGCAAGGTGACGAATCTGACGCTACGTCGGGACGAGATTATCGATCTCACCGATATGCTGCTGAAGGACATCTGCGTACCCAGGGATGATCGCGAAATGGATATCCAGCGACGCTTCGATCGCAGTGCGAAGTGCGTATCGTGAAATTTAACTTTACAAGAACTATGTTTGAATTTTACATTATTATTTTTGAAACGATCTTTTTAAGCGAGACAAAAATCCAAGAGAACGATTGGAGATTCGGCAATCAATGACTAAATACTTATACAAATATTTATATAAGTATTAGGATCCAATAATTTCTATTTAAACAACACGTTCGCACGGCTCATGCTTCTCCAATCCCTGATGGTGAACAATTTTCTAAAAGTTTCTCATATTTTAGATTTATGAGAAAATCTGAATAAAATATGTTAAATTTCTCAGATACTTTTAAAATATTTTAGATTTTATTATTTTGTGCGTTTTGAAAAAATGTTTCAATTTGTATTAAAAAATCTGGGAAAATCTTAAAATCCTGAGAAAGTTTTAAAATTTGCATAAAAATTCTGTTTAATAATACGAAAAATTCTGAGACATTTTTCCACTAGGGATTTTCCCAATATTTCTCCATTGTTTCTTCAGGATAATCACCATATGTTGCGAGATACTCAACGAGTCGGCCGTCTTCTTCGCCACGGTCGCGCAATTCCAGTTCTTCATCAACACTCGGACCTTACCTCTGTCCAACTGGGTGCCCTACGACATCTCATCAACGGCCGCTTTCTGGGCGACTATGTTGCACCAGACCATCGGGTTGATGGTCTGTGCGAACGCCAGCGTCGCCCACGAGACACTCATCTCCGGTTTCATGATCCAGACTTGCGCCCAACTGGATATACTCTGCCATCGCGCTCGCACGTTGCCGGATTCGCTGCGGGAGGCCCGGAAATACAGTACCTCGGAGAACGATCTCAAAGCGCGAGAGCAGCGACTGATCCGCGAACTCGTTCATCATCATCGCTTCGTGTACAGGTGAAGATAAGAGCTTATTCGCGCGTGAAGAAAAGAAAATAAATATATCTATATATACACTAAGAAAAAATCCAAACAAATATTTATTAGGTGGTTCCTAATAGCATTATTTACTTATTTTTTACACATATTTATTTAGAATTAGATATTTTTATTTCAATTAAATAAAAATATTTAATTCTAAATAAATATGTGTAAAAAGTAAGTAAATAATGCTATTAGGAGCCACCTAATAAAATATTTTCTTGGATTAAAATATTTTTTTCTTAGTGTATTATTGAAAGGGATAATCATATAATGGTGCAGATTCGCGGAACGCATCAATGCGGTGTTCACCATAATGATTTTCGTGCAATTCACCATAAGCTCGACGGTGCTTTGTCTCAGCATCTACAAAATGTTGACGAAGAACTTGCTGAGCCTCGAGTTCGCGTGGAGCTCGTCGTACCTCGGTTGCATGCTTATGCAGATTTATTTGTACTGCTGGTTCGGTAACGAAGTGACACTAAAGGTCAGTCATTTAAAAAATCTTGAACTTTTAAAGCCGCTATCTTTTTTAGGAATGTTTAACTTACTTGAAGCCAGTTTAGTAAACTCTTTTTAAAATTAGTTTATTCTCAAATATACATAGAGCACTGAAATCGGGAGCGCTGTTTACGAGATGGATTGGCCGATGCTTCCTGCTGATTTAATGAAAACCCTTTTGATGATAATTACGCGAGCTAAGAGACCAATCAAGATAACTAGCGGACACATAGTTACTTTGTCCAACGAATCGTTTGTGAAGGTCCGTAAGATAATATCACGGTAATATTATAGCAATTGTAAAAACATTTTAAATAAATCCAGCAGTTTTAATTCTCATTTTTTCAGATTATCAAAATATCTTACTCGGTGTACAACGTTCTTATACAGAGGTCTTAGTACAAGTGAAAGCAAATTTTTTCTTCGATCTCGCGTTCTATATAAAGAAACCTGGTGGCCAACTATATTTATCTCCACGTGAATAATGAAAGTGAAAAAAAGTTTAAAAATCTGCAGTTATTTTTTTAAATATACTTATACGTATGTCTTTCGCATAAACCGAGGAGAGATATCTTCTGAGAATCATCTTTCTCTCGCACTCTCCTCACCGGCTCTGTACTCAACGTGACAGCAACAACTCGCGAGAAGTCAGAAGTAATCACGGATAATCTCGCCAGTTTTGGAAATGGCAGTGAGATCGCGGTAAATGTGTTTCTGCTTGCACATCGCGACGTATCCCTCACCGGGTACGTCGATTACCTGGCACTTAGCGTTCTCCTCTCTGAAAATGGAACAATGTTGTGCGATATTTCTCGTAACATTTTATACTTGCTCCCGTCCTACGATCTATATATTCTGTATACTTATTCTATAATTTTTTTTATTCGTATTGTATATGAATGTTAAGGACTGGAAAATTCTTTATATATATATTAAAGAACTGTAAAACTCTGATTTATATATATAGTGTTTTTTCTTCAATCACGAGCAAGCTTCGATTCATAAATCCTGAGAAAACTTCGGCTCCTACGACTGGAGGATGTACAGCCACACGTCATCCTTGTTTACGGCCGTTTTTGGATGAATCAATTTCTCCTGGAATTTTATGTCGTTTTTTAACGACAATTTTAGAACTTTACATTAATACATATTACATGCAATAATAGATCACAGTTTAAAGATAATTTTTACCATAGACAGACAAAGTGGAGTCTCTTGGTCGTCTATTTTCGGCGTAAGGTTGCTCTCCTTCTATTTAATGAAAGAGAAAATTCTGGATTAAAATCTCCCTCTAGTTTTAAGAGTAAACGATAATTTATAGGTCTATACTAACAAAGTCCTCAGACGCGTAATATAGCAGGCTGGAATTCGCGGCGAGCATCCGGTTCAAAAATTCCTGAGGATAATTTGGGACGTCCTCGCAATAAGTTTGTCTCCTTCGATCGCAGTGTGTCACTCCTGCGTAATTATCGTCGCCGTTTCTCACTTGCCATACGTCCGAAAATCCAAAACGATCCTCGCTCGCATGTATATCGTTATCTATACAGATGTATCTACTAAAATGTTATATTTTAAGATCGCAAGAATATAGATATTATAAATAATTTCTGAGGTATAAATTATGTGACTTAAGATGAATTTTGAATTAATTAATTTTGAACGGAATACAATCGCGTCAAATGTCTAAAATACTGCTTTTAGATCTCATATGTCACCTTTATTAGGGTTGTAATACGATTCCTTGGGCATTTCGTACGAAGCGGTCGTTGGTTTCAATCCGCCATTAACGTGATTATTGTAATACTGTTTGTAAGACTTATGACCGTGAAAACGACTCCCCAGAATAATCTAAAATGGAAAAATGCGGTTCTTTAATGCTTCATTTTTCTCCAGCGTGTTCTTAATTCTCCTTTATCGGTGCAATATTCTATATCTCGATAATGTCGCGATTAATAACTTCAAAATCGCATTTTATTTTTTAGAAAAGAAAAACAATTGATTACATATGATTTATCTCGAACGGGATCACTCAATATTACATATTGCTGAGATTGATTTTTTCGGCAATCGCCGCTCATCTAATTGCGCCCTGTGTTTCGCTTGTATCGCATTAGGTATTCTCTCTTCATTTTTATTTAACTTATTCGATATTATAAATTCAATTCCATTAATTGATACTAAAACAGATATAAAATCTGCTATTGAACACTGTTAAACACTACTGTAATAATTTTTTTCTTAACGCGCAGACTGCACTTTCAAATTTCTGATGAAATCGACTCGAATGATCCAAGAAAAATGTTATGTACCGGTAAGATGAGGAGGGCCTGCGTTAGAAGCACTACAGCAAATTTTCCTCTTATTATTAAAAACCACTTCTCTTCTCTTCAATCACTCGTGCGATGTAATATACGCGATTTACGCAATGTAACGAGCGAAGTATAGCTGTGTAAAGTGTCAATGCTCCGAAGCACACGGTGACTGCGCAGTTTGTGAGCTTTAAGCAGCTCTTCGTGGATTACTTAAACCGATTTAGGTACACGACGACTTCCGACCAGACCGCAAACTGATGTTAGTTTTGCCTTATCGGCAGGCATTATTATCAGCTTCTGAAGCTTAATCTGCAATCATCAATCGCGTCACCGGTCGTTTGCATTTTTTTTTGCGACGATATAGATTAGCTAGCTTATCGTAGGATATATATAGGAAAGCTGATCCAACAAATCTGGCGAGAATACTGTACTCATCGAAATCGACAATTTAAACGAAATTCACATTGTTGAAATTAAAGATTGGTGAATACTGAATTTCTTAATAGATTTTCATTTTTTTTCCCGTGCCACTCAATCGTGTCCTTCCAGGAAAGCCTGCTGATATAATCTTATCTCATTGCCAGTAGATTACTAGTATTATCTGTTATTTTATATTATCGAAATGTCATTTATGTTATTTAAAGTATTTAAACAGTTAGGGTAACCCCGATATTTACGCCGCGCGAGGATTTACACCGCAAAAGTCAGAAAAAATAGAAGGAATGAAGGTATTTGCTCGCAATTACTCTGTTTTGTGCCTTTATGCCACATTAGTATTGTGTTGTAATTTCAGTCCTTTTTACTGTTAATATTAACGAAACCGTCGTGAGTCAAGGGGATGCTGTAGTGGCATGCAGTACTGGCAGTAAATTACCGACATTTTTTTGAACTCACAAAACTTTGAATTAGTTTTACGGAATTGAAAAAACTTTTTTACAGAATTAAAGTACGCACAAAAACGAAGGGCTCTGCAGTCGACTTTACATCAAAAACAAAAAAAAAAATAAAAAAATTATAGTTTTGTTATCGATTTCTGATGCGGTCGACTCGTGACAACATTTGCTGCACATAAAAATTTAGACTTTGTATACATATAAAATAAGTATACGGCGCCATCGGAATTACAAAAAAGAAACAAAAAAAAAAAAAAGAACAATGTTGTGTTTTCAGAAATGAGCCTAGAAGCTTTAGTATAAGAGAAAAATGTATCTGAAAATCTCATATGTATGTATGCGTGCGGAGTAATATTACGTGTAGCGAGAGATGGTGCAGCAATCGAACAAGGACAGATGTCATTTCGTTAGATAAAGACAGATATAGAGAAAACAAAATTAAAAATGTTGACATTATCGACATCGAGGAAGTTCGGCCGTCACTCCAGCATCCCCTTAAATCGATTTTTCTATAATGTAGTAAGTAGCGCGATCATATATTACGACTATGTAAAATAATTACTGTAGGGAATGCAAAAGATTTAATTAGTTATTTCATGATACATAAGTGTGTAGAGGGATCCCATATAGCATGAAATATTCCATGAATGTTCTATAAATATTCTTTAGAATATTCATGAATTTTCTATAAATGTGCAAAGAACGTGTAATGTCCCGCTTTGAATGTCCTTAGAAATTTCTGTAAATATTCTCGAATAATCTACAAATGTTTTATAAATATTTCCCCATAATCCATAATTTTTTTATATATGCAAAATATATTTTTAAAACATTTATAGATTATTTTAGGAACATTAAAAATGGGATATCGCATATTCTGTATACATTTAATATTCACCCGACATAAAAAAAATTATTTATTTCGAAATTTTATTACTATTTTTTAACTAAATTTCTTAAGATGCAGTCTATAATTATAAATATTTTCTCGTATTTGAAAAACACATTTACCTTCGTGGGATTCGAACTCGGGACCTCGGGACCTCTGCATCGTGAGCCAACTGCCTTACGTGGTAGACTACTTTTTAATTTAATGTAAGCGTTATATATAGTCTACATATGTCATAACCAGCGCAAATATATAATTTTTCAAAATCATCTTAAGAAACAAATTCAGTTTAAAAAGAGTAATAAAATTTTGAATTGGATATATAATATAATATTTCTTAATGTCGGGTGAATGCTTGAAATATGCATAACATATTGTAGATACTTCAAGAAAATCACGAAATTTTCTATAAATATTGCAGAAAAATTTCTAAAAAGTTTTTATTATATGTATATATATATAATGCTTTCCAGAATATTTATATAATGTTCCAAAAAAATGTTTATAGATTATTTTAAAAATATTCTATTAATATTCTGAATATTTTATGTTCATTGCAATGTTCACAGATTATTATTGAAATATTTATAGCAATTCTAGAAAAGTTTTTCAGAATATTCATACCACATGCTATAAATGTTTAAGAATATTAACAAAATGTTCCGTAAATATTCCGAATATTCTACATTTGTTAAAATATTTATAAAACATTCTATAAATTTTTTAAATGTACTATATTTATTAGAATATTTGCAGAATATTCTATGCATATTCCGAATAGACATTTCATGGAATATTTATAGAACTTCTACAGAATATTCTGAATAACCCGTGGAATATTAAAATATTTATAGATTGTTTATAGCACATTTCTTGCATATTTCGTGCTGTATGGGATAGTGAAGGATGGAATATGGAATACAGCAAAATACAAGTGCATAGTGCTCTTGTATTCTTTGTTTAGCTTGATATCTTATATATTCCACCTGTTTAGGATATTTGGCATTTTTAGCGTGCAGGATTTGTGCCATAGTATAAACACTCTGTAAAAATCGAAATCTCCTAATATGTTTTTTTCCTTTTTTTTTTGGATCATATAACAATAACCTTTAATGCATTTATCGTTTGTCTATTTTCTTTTTAAAATTTTTCAGTTTTATAATTTGTTTATTGTTCTTACATCTTAATAAACTTTTTACACACATTTTATAACTTATTATGATATTTTATATTGTCTTATTTATAAACATTACTTGTCATTTTTTATAAGGCGTATATTCTACCTATGAATACCATTTATTCCACCCCTATGGGATAAATGGCAAATAGGATATATGACAAAAATGCAAAGGTCTCTAAAAGTTTATTTTTGTTAAATACGAAGAATAAATATTTTATATTTCTATTTTTTTTATAGTAGACGTAGACAGTATAAAGTTTTTCTTGGTATAATTTATTTGCCTTAAACATATTAAATAGTACTCAATAAATTAAGTTTTCTTTAGGTCCGGCGTATATATAGGAGTTACCCTATATGTTATTTAAAGTATTTAAACAGTTATAAGAATGCAGATTTAATTTACAATTAGTTTTGCAATCTGCCATTATATTCCGTTAAACTTGTATCACACTACGGATAGGGATTGAAATTGGATTAAAATTTAACTAATAAAAATAAAAAGAATTAATCTCAAGTTTAGTAAACTTTGATCTGATCAGTCAAATATTAATCTAATCTCAATCCTTATTCGTAGTCTGATACGGACTTTAGCAGATCCTGTTATAAGTCTGCTGGTACTCTGCCGACTTTGTAACAGACACTTTGCAAAATGTATTTTCGAAAGATTTGGCCGTCTATCTCTTCACACATGAGCTTTTGTGCCCGTAACCGTTAAGAAAAAGCCTTTTCGAGATTTATGCTTTCAAGGGATTAGGATCCACGCACTAAGTAATGACACTTTGTACTTTAGAGTATACTTATACACCATGAAATTCCAAAGCGATCTGCCGATCTTGTCGTTACTTATATATTAATTAATCGGGAAAGAAGAACCGGGATTATAGTGACCCTAGCCGGAGTTACGTATCATGCTCCATTTCTAAATCATCTTTTGAATTGTCTTTTACTTACTTGGTTTTAATTACGATTCTCTTTGCAATAATTTATCTTTCCTTTTATTCTTTTAGTAATTATTTAATCTTTCATAAACTGTTTTTCTTTTCTTATTTAATATTTCTTAATTTTTTTCAAGGTTTCTCAATGTATTAATTAATATTTCTTAACGTTTTAATACTTTTTTCACAGTGTTTTAATGTTAAGAAATCGATCGGGTTACGACAGATCTCGCAGCATTTTTCCTTACACATGGAAAGAATAATAATATTATATTTCAGTATTGGTCTCATTGAAAATAATTTTGGTAATTTAATAACAAATAGTGAAACAAATAAT